GGGGTTTAGGGGTTTAGGGGTTTAGGGTTTAGGGGTTTAGAGATTAGGGGTTTAGGGTTGAGGGGTTTGGGGGTTTAGGGGTTTAGGGTTTTAGGCGTTTAGGGTTTAGGAGTTTTCTGGTTGGCCGGGTTGTTATATTCGACCAAAAACCTAAAGCCTAAACCCTAAACCCTAAAACCCCAAACCCTAACCCCTAAACCCTAAACCCTAAACCCTAAACCCTAAACCCTAAACCCTAAACCCTAAACCGACATTTAAGGTAAAAGCGTACCGGCTCCGGGAGACCTGGTGGCACCCCCAAAAATCTGATGGAACCCATGGGTTCCAGCAGATTGGGTTTAGGGTTTAGGGTTTCGGGTTTAGGTTCTAGGGTTTAGGGTTTAGGAGCATTGGGTTTAGGGTTTAGGTTGTCTGCTTCATCACCCGAAAGCCAAATGCATGCAACCCGGCTGTGAGGCAGCGATTCGCATGGTGGCAGAGGCTGGACTTGTGCTCCAAGTGTCCAGGGGCTGTAAGGGATTAACGTAAGGGGCCGAAATAATTACTTACACTATTCTAAAAGATTCCTTACATTATAATTATAGTATAATGCGCCCCCCCCCCCTCAAAAAAAATTTATTCTAATTATTAAGGCCCCTATTTTAGGGTTATGGGATTGGAAGTTTTTGCTAACTTCGAAGGTTGAAGAGGGGTTTCTGGTCCAGTGAAAGCTTTCGGGGTTAGTAGAGTTCCGTGTCTGCTGAGGGTTTAGGGGCTGTGGACTGCTGGCGTTGGCTTGCAAACCCCATGTAAATACACCGGGGGCCCCAGGGTGTGGGATTTTCCAGCATGGACACCCTCCACCCGGGGTTTAGGGTTTAGGGTTTAGGGTTTTGGGCTTTAGGGTTTAGGGTTTAGGATTCTCGGGCAAAGAATGAAATTGGCAAGCTCTCTGTAGGGCTTGATACGGCTTTGGTGGCCTTCCAAGGTCATCCACAGAGGGCCATGAATGGCTGGTAAGGGAGACCTGGATTCTAGGGACGTCAGGGGTAGGAGGGCAAAAGCGACGAGATTTCATGCTTCAGGTCTTGGTGCCCAAAACCCTAAACCCTAAACCCTAAACCCAAACCCTAAACCCTAAACATGAAACCCTAAACCCTAAACCCTGCTGAAAAACACGGGCGAGGCTCTGGTGGCTTCCTGCGGCTTCAAATTCCGGCGCTCCGCCTTTCGAGGCTTTCAAACCAGGGGCTCTCAGGATGGGCTAGGGGGACGGTTTAGGGTTTAGGGTTTAGGGTTTAGGGTTTAGGGGGTATGGGGTTGTGGAGTACTATAAGGAGCCCCCAAAAATAGTTTTGGTAATTCGTTAAGGCCCCAATACTATGCTTCGGAGGTCTTTCAACAAGAACCTTACGGTAGGGTTTAGACATGGGAGTTTCCCAAAATTAGGGTACCTTATTTTGGGGTCCTTATAATAATAATAAGGATCCTATTATTTAGGGTGCTATATCAGGGTCCCCTATTTTCGGAAACCCCCACATTTCTCAGGTTTTCAAAGAAGGGTTGTACAGGGGACTTCTTGATATAGAGAGCTCGTCATCCGGTGCTATAGGAGGCTTCGTAGGGTTTTGGGTTCAGGAGTTTTTTTCAGGGCCTCAAGGAGCTGAGGGCCTCTGGGCAACTAGCTAAAAAGGGTTGGGTGTAATATAGTTTAGGGTTTAGGGTTTAGGGTTTACGGTTTAGGGTTTAGGGTTTAGGGTGTAATATAGGGAGCCT